TATGGATGTGAGAGTTGGACTATAAAGAAAGCTGAGTGCCGAAGAATTGATGCTTTTGAACTGTGGTGTTGGAGAAGACTCTTGAGAGTCCCTTGGCCTGCAAGGAGATCCAACCTGTCCATCCTAAAGGAGATCAGTCCTGGGTGTTCATTGGAAGGACTGATGCTGAAGCTGAAACGTCAATACTTTGGCCAGTTGATGCGAAGAGCTGACTCATTCGAAAAGACCCTGATGCTGGGAAAGAGTGAGGGCAGGAGAAGAGGATGACAGAGGATGAGATGGTTGGATGGCATCACCGACTCAATGAACATGAGTAAACTCCAGGAGTTGGTGATGGACAGGGAGGCCTGGAGTGCTGCAGTCCATGGGGTTACAAAGAGTCAGACACGACTGAGCAACTGAACTAAACTGAACTGAATATGGTAGGATATCAATTCCTGCCCCTACTAACTGAGACAACTTATGCAAAAGTGCTTAAAAGCCCAGTAAATGACATCTGTTGTTAGGCATCTATGCCTTGTAAACATCCTCAAATACACTGGAAGAAAACTAAAGAAATCCTTTTTACACAAGAACTTTCAGATGAACCCATGATTTTTCCCATTCAGTGTCAGATAACCAAAATCATATGTTTATGATTTAGGTTACAGTCTTTGATATCATACTCACTCTAGTCTGCTTCCTCAAATCTTTCCTTTATATATTATGAAATTACCTGGTCCTCATCTAACAGTCAGGCGTCCCAGGTAGCACTAGTGGTGAAGAACCCACCTGCCAATGCAGGAGACATAAGAGACACAGGTTTGATCCCTGTGTCTCCAGAGGTCGGGAAGATCCTCTGGAGGAGGGCATGGCAACTCAATCCAGTATTCTTGCCTGGAGAATCCCATGGACAGAGGAACCTGGCAGGCTACAGTCCATGGCTTCGCAAAGAGCTAGACATGACTGAAGCAACTTAGCATGCACATATAATGATATACACCCATCATTGTAATATGGCACAGAATATTTTTATTGCCCTAAAATCCCTGCTCTGCCTATTCATTTCTCACCTCCCCAGCCCCACCTCTGGCAACCACTGATCTTTTCTCTGTGTCCATAGTTTTGCCTTTCCCAGAACTTCACATAGTATTGGCTTGTTTCATTTAATAATATGTTTCATTTAATAATGTGTATTTGAGGTTCCTCTTGGTCATTTCTGGCTTGATAGTTCATTTCTTTTTTAGTGTGAATAATATTCCACTGTCTGAATATACCACAGCTTATTTATCCATTTGCCTACTTAAGGACATATAGTTGCTCAGGTCATGGAATTTGATGAGGAAAAAATCCTAGGGATATAGAAGTTCTATTCATTAATATTTCTAATATTGCAGTAATATTACTATGACTCCGCACAAATATGTCTAACAGCTTTAGCGCTGAAGAGATGAATGTGGTGTGGCTTTTATAAATTATACGTGTTGTTGGGTGGACTGAGAACTGAGAATTGCCCAGATTTTTATTTAAACAACAGTATGCCAAGTGACAAAACATTCAAGATAATAGCAAGGCCATATCTGTGGGTGTAATGTTGAGAGCTTAGTCATTACAAGCATAAGAGGAAGTGAGAAATGGAAGAGGTTGGTTTAGGAGAAATGAAGCAGATATACTTCAATGATTATTATTATCAACTGTTGTTCTTTTTCTATCATACATCCCAAATTTGGATGCCATCTTCATCCTCCAAGTGCTTGTATCATAGAAGAACATCAATATTTTTGTTAACTTATTTTTCCTTATCACTGAGAATATTTGTGTGTGTGTGTGTGTGTGTGTGTGTGTGTATCTGATTGTAAAGATTTAATCTTTTCACACTTATGGTTTTAATCAAGGAAATGTTAGTGCCAGAGTAAATTTTTGTGACTGACTATTTTGTTGTTGTGAGAGTGAAGAAAAAATATTTTGATCCTATAAAGAGCAAATGAAGAAAATTCTACTAACTGAATATTAAAAATAACCAGTGGAGGTTGACTCAAAAGGTTTACATTTATTTGATCAAACTCTAACTGACTCTAAGTTCTGAAAGCAGAAACTTTGGAGGAATAATGATAGAATGATTTGGGAATGTCGACTGAAGGGGAAAAAGATATTACAATCTGCAGAAATAGAGGGCTGCTCATTCTCTGCTACTCACCTCTGAAAATGATGCTAGAACAAACACATACGCACAACATTAGCTTTAAAACCAGGCCCTGTAACAAGTCAAAATATCCTTATGGGAAGAAATCAGTAGACCCTCAAATCCTTTTTGGATTTCAGAAGAGAACATGTTTTCCCTTATCATATGACTGGTAGAGTGTTGAGAATACCTGTTGTATACACGTGTTTTTATTTGATTTGTGAACAGGCCCTTTCCCTTTATAGCCACAGGAGCCATTCTCAGAAGGCACACAGGCAATGAAAATATTTTCAAATCCCGAGAGCCACAGAAACACTAACTTTCAGTTTATTCACTGGGCTGTGCCTTTCTAAACATTTTCTTTTTTAAACTGGCCCTAAAGGGCAATAAACTAGGCCTCCACTAAGCCTGAGCAAATAGAAAAGAAGAGGATTAAGTGGAATGTCTGCAAGAATGTCATGCAGATGGGGTCTTGTCTCAAGACTGATGGCCCATAAGGTAAGTTTAAACAGGACCATTGCTCTGTGTTCATACCAATCAGCCAAAACTTACTCAGAAACATGTTTATTACAGACTCAAGTAGGTAGCAAATTTGTTAACAAAACATACATATGAGGGGTTTTCTTTCTCAGTTTCCTCCCTCCCAATCTCATTACTATGGTCAGCAGTGTTCTGTTTCTTAATAAAGCAATATAAACGTTGAAGAAATTGATGGGTAATTTTTTTTTAAACTGAAAATGTAACTGTTGACTTAGAAGCAGGCATTGATAACAAAGGATAGTTTCAAGACCAGTGCTCTGCAAAAAGAGAGTGAAAATGCCATGAGCCAAGTTGGAATTTCAGATCTCTGCATAATTCAGTATTTTGTAATGAATGTTTTCTTTGCTGTTTTATATTCTGAGAGACCAGGTTAAGTAATTAGCATCCATTATAAGTTCAAAGTTGAAAACAAATTGAGAAAATCAAATGGTATTATGGCAAAAGAGCCTTTCCTAAAGTTCTAAATGCTTAATTGAGAGCCATTAAAAGTAACAAAATATTATAAGAATTGAAATAATGTAGATAGTGTCCAAATATGGGGACATCGGCTATGTTTTGACACCCCGGCATGGACCTTGTTCAGGGGATCACCTGTGTCAGATAATTTAAGATGTAGTTGACAAATCTTGACTTCCTTTGAATTATAGAAAGTATTTGTCAGTTGCTGCAAAGTTAAATTTAAACACACACACTTGGCTTTGTGAGATGAAATTTATCTGTAGGATCTTTATTTTCTTGCCTTTATTATTTCCAGTGCAATTTATACTGTCACCTTCATAATCCCCTGCCACCAGGGCTCCAAGACAAAACATACTTTTGTAGTATCTCTCCCTGTTCAATGTCTTTCGGCCATAGGTTCACCCACATATCAGCCAGGTAGGATTGGGGAAGTGTGGTTGAAAAGTAGGCTTACCAAATCCCAGAAGCCCTAGATATTGAGTTTTCACCTAAGTTGCTGAGGAAAGTAAGTTGAATTACCTTTATTGGGCACCTATTATATTCCAGCTTATATATACAGTTCTGTTCAGTCACTCAGTCGTGTCCAACTGACTCTTTGTGACCCCACAGACTGCAGCATGCCAGGCTTCCCTGTCCATCACCAACTCCCAGAACTTACTCAAACTCATGTCCATTGAGTCGGTGATGCCATCCAACCATCTCTTCCTCTGTTACCCCCTTCCCCTCCCACCTTCAATCATTCCCAGCATCCGGGACTTTTCAAATGAGTCAGTTCTTCACATCAGGTGGCCAAAGTATTGAGTTTCAGCTTCAACATCAGTCCTACCAATGAACACCCAGGACTGATCTCCTTTAGGATGGACTGGTTGGATCTCCTTGCAGTCCAACGGACTCTCAAGAGTCTTCTCCAACACCACAGTCCAAAAGCATCAATTCTTCAGCACTCAGCTTTCTTTATAGTCCAACTCTCACATCAATAGGTGACCACTGGAAAAACCAACCACTGCTATCTGAAAAGTGGAGCATCTTATGGCATAAACAAAGAAGCAGTTACCTGGGACACATCTTGGTAACTGATGCACAGAATAAGTTGAGATAAAACCCAGATGCTCACAGACGAGGTTCAGAGGTACAGAGCCTGGATGCAGAGCGGAGGGAAGGACCTGGGCGGGACTGATCTCAGTGCAGGAATACGCTGCCTCTAGAATGGCTCACTGCACGACAAACCGACTACTCTTTTTGCTTTTCCCCTTTCTCCATAAGAGCAAAAATCCCCTTTGGATTTCTAAAACAGATACTAATATAGGTCTTTCATAAAAGTGAATTGACCTAAACTTTCAAAAATTAGAGGACACCTGTATAACCTCTGATTGATACACAACAACCCAGAAAAGTAGACTCCACTATCACTATTTTATAGATGAGAAAGCTGAAAAAGTGTGTTTAATGTGCTTTTCCAAGGTTACCCAGATCAGATTATTAAATGAGGATTGACTCTAAAGACCATATTCTTTCTCTCACAACACAGCATGCTTTCTTACTAGCTTGAGAGACTGTACCAATTCAAACTATAAAAAGAATCAGTGGTGTTCATGGTCCACTGTTAACAAACACAAAGCCCTGTTCTGCTGGCCCCTGAGTCCTCCTGGTAATTGAAATGACCAAGCCTGGCATTTCTTATGCCATCTTGGGGAAGAGGTAACATTAGCTAAAGGAGGGAAAAATTGGAAAAAGAGAATATTAGCTCTGTCTATTTGGTGATGGCTCTTAGAGGAAATAAATGGAAGATACATGTTTTTCTGTTAATATTTTCTGTTTAAAAGAGAACAAGGGGCCTGGGGTGAAGAGCAAATAGAGAATACTGATGCTGTGATAATGAGCCAAAGAGTGTTGATTTGGGGCTTATTTCTCTATTGCCCTGGTCATTTCATCCTTCACAGAATGAGAATATCCTGTTCAGCTTTCAGGCTGGGGTTGTCATGCGAGAAGAGTACGATAATTTCATCCTTTTTTGTAACTTTCTTTTGGGGATAAGCATTTTGGTTTTCTGCTGTTTATTATTTCAAAGGCATCTATATGCTAATATGTTTTATGCTAATTATTTTCATGTTTTCCCCTTAGGTTGTGCTTCATATCACCCACCAGGGAGGATCATCTCTCATGAAAACTTTCAAATTTGATTTTGAAAATTATTCAGAAAAATTTAAGCCATGCTATCTCCCAGGGTAGGAAAGAATATGCTCTAGAGACTTCTATAATTCAAAGGCAATGGACTGGGATAACATTTAAGTTATCAGGCTGCCGAAATCCTCTTGAGAACAGCCAGGTACACAAAACATTTAACACTGTGACACTGAAATGTGGGAAGAATAATTAAAATAAAAATCTAGTAACAGGCTTTCAGAAATCACTAAAGTACTGTTTGATCCAGAGAGGAGAAAGGAAAGGCTGTTTTCATTCTCCACCGCGTCTGAGGTGTGCTAACTGCTTCTGTTACTATGAGTATATCATGTTTTAATTGTATGTCAGCATTCCTTAGTGTCATTCCTAGAAATTTAATTGTAATGATATTAATGCCTGAAACTAAGTCTGTGCTTACAGGGAGAATAAGGTGAGAGAGGTTTTCGTATAATGAGCTAGCTTGATGTTTTCTTCCAGTTTTTTGTTTGTTTGTTTGTTACAGAGATTTTTTTTTAATGAAGTTTCAATTTAGAAAGTAGGTTACCATTTTGGAGGAAAAAAACCTAGAAGTCATTCAATTAACCTGTCTTTAAAAACCTTTTTGCAGGCATCTTCTTTTGAAGATAGCCAGATCTTAAAAACTGATTCCTCAATATGAGATATTAAAACTTTACTTTAAAAGATTTTTATATTACAACTTTACATTTTTTGTTTGGTTCGGAAATGGACTTGTTTTGTTCCCAAGCACTTCAGGGATGCAAAGAAAAGGTCCCCATTTCCCACTCTTCTGCATTGTTCTCCGCCTTGCTCTGTGTATAAGAAAAGAAGGGATTCAGAAGCGCTGGGGGAGTCACAGTCCAGATTTCAGTTCATTTTGTGGGCTGTCTCTTTTGCACCTCTTCCTCTCTCCACCTTTGATAGCTGCACCCCATTTCAATTCTCTTTTTCAGATGCTTTCAGTTTTAGAGCTCAGCAGTGTCCATCCTGCCAGAAGTGCAGCCCAGCTGCTGCTCTGTCTCCTCTTGGTTCATTCTAATGCCTCTTGACTCCAAGATAGCTTTGTCAGCAGGAAAGTTCACTTTCGGGCTTGGAAGAAAGGTCTCCTTCTGGAAGGGGGCCTGACAAGTAAGCTAGACTCTCCCCCAGAGAGGAAGGGCTCAGAGCCAGCCTCCAAAAGGCAGATGAAGGCAGATCCCTGAACGATCTGTTCTGGGACTGCCAACCAGCATTTCAACACATAACTGTCATCACCTCTCTCCAAACAGGAAGAATCATTGCTAGGGATATGTTTGGTAAATTGGTTAGAATAAACGATTGTCTGTTAAAGGTAAAATAACATTTTCTTGAAACCTGGCTGTGTTTGGTACATTCTGTTGAAATAAAAGACCTGCAGCAGTTTATGTGCTAAACCCTGGTGACCCATCATTATTTTCCTTTCATTCCATTTATCTGTCAGTGACAATAACAAAATAGCTACACATTTTCCCTTTTAAAGTTGTGTTTAGAGAAGGATCCCTTGAGCTAACATATTCGATCTTAATGCAGCCCCAGCTGAGAAAAAACTTTCTCTTCTTGCTCTTCTCTGAACATAATTCAAAGGTAGTTCAAATAGAAAAGCAATTTGTGTACAATTAGGCTCCAAACTTATGAGGTATAGGTGAACCATGCAATTTGATTAAGGAGGCTGCTATGAGTGTATTATTCCCTTCGAGAACTAAATTCCATGAGGACAGAAAGGAGATCTATCAGCAACTGTTAGCCTGTAGTGGCTCTAGAGGGCTTCTCAGGTGTCACCAGTGGTAAAGAATCAGCCTGCCAATGCAGGAGCATGAGAGGTGCTGGGTCGGGAAGATCCCCTGGAGGAGGGCATGGCAACCCACTCCAGTACTCTTGCCTGGAGAATCCCATGGACAGAGGAGCCTGGTGGGCTGCAGTCCATGGGGTCGCACAGAGTCAGACACGACTGAAGTGACTGAGCTTGCACGCACACAGCTCTAGAAGGGGGCTGTGGTTGGTGACTTGACGCAAATATTTGGTGGTCTTGACTCCGTCTATCTGAGCAGTGAGATCAGCTCAACATGCTCCAGAAATGCTGTATGATCTGAGAAGAGTAGCACAGCTGGGTTAACACGACTTTGAAATGATAGGGACTAGAATCAGAGAAACTGGATTTGCATCCCATATCAATACCTTCTAGTCATCCGACCTGGATGGATGAGTTCCTTGCCCTCATTCTCCCCATGGATCATAATAAAAGTAAGATACAGCCCGCCACACTGTGTGTGTGTGTGTGTGTGTGTGTGTTAGTCGTTCAGTCATGTCCAGCTCTTTGCCACCCCATAGACTAGAGCTCCCCAGGCTCCTCTGTCCATGAAATTTTCCAGGCAAGAATACTTGGGTGGGTAGCCATTCCCTTCTCCAGAGAATCTCCCGACCCAGGGACTGAACCCACATCTCTTTTGTCTCCTGCATTGACAAATGAATACTTCACCACTGTGCCACCTGGGAAACCCACATGGATAATATGGGAGGAAAAAAACCATACTGATTGTTTTAAGTGGGATGTGAGGATTAAACGAGATGACATATTTTCATGGTGCCCACAGCTCAGACATCCTCAATGATTGTTACTTCTATTTTATTATCACTATTCTTACTTGTAAATGATACTTTTAGGATTATTATGATCATTATAGTCATTAGTGGTATTAATAGCAATGTGAAAGATTCAAATTTTTTCCTTACGGAGAACTTAGCTGAAATTCAAAGATGCACACACTGGGTACTTTTTTCACTTGTAATACATTTCCTGTGAAATGAAGATGTGGACAGGCTTAAGCTTTAAATGATTCACTGAAATCCTCTGGAATGCCAGTGATTCACTGGAAGTCTTTATACCGTCGATAGCTTTTGGTAAAAGTTTTTTCATGGTCAAATCTAAGATTTTGCACAAGTTGAAAAAATGTTTTAAGTCTATTAAATGTTATTGCTTGTATTAACCAATGCCAAATATTCAGTAATATATAGAAAAAGTCACTTGCTCAATATTTTTACACTCACTGCCAAGAATTCAGCTATCTAGCTAATGAGCTGTCTTTTTCACTTGTCTTTTCCATACCTAAGATTATGAAAACTTCTAGTGTTGCTGGTATGAGTGGTCTTGTTGATTACAGGGTACAGTTTGAAATTCCTGAATCGCATGAAGTGTGGGATTGCTTAGAATAAAGTCTTTTAGAGAAAAAGCCATCTTGCTGGTCGGTAAGCTCCCTAAGTAGTGAGCTGCCAGGTCATATTCATGGAGCCAGATCATCTTACGAAAGCATGATCTCAAGGTCATTAGCCATCTCACTTGCTCGCAAAATGGGAGAAGAGAAAGTTGGTTTGTGCTTGCCTCCAAACAGGTGGCTATTCCCATACAGAGAAGTCAGATGTTAATTAAACTATTGCAGGGTTAGAATAGATCATGCCATTCTGGTTTGAAAAGTCATCATTGACTTCTGCAGTTTCCCCTCCCAAAAAAACCAAAATCCACAAATGCATCTGCTTACAAAGTTTTTATTAAATGCAAGTCACATTTAAAGTAAAAAGAAAAATATTTTTTTGTTGTCTGTAGAATGACTTTAGTCACAACAAAGACTTCATTAAAATAATATCTTGAGTGTATGTTTCAATTGTGATCCTTGGGATTTAATTTTTTATTTCATTTTCATCCTGTGCTTTCTCTGTTTCATGAAGCCAGCCCTCAAAGTAAATGCTTACAGTAAATTAACTCTGGTGTATTTTAAGGTATTTCATTTTAAATATTCACACTTGGATTAAAGCGCAGTATCATCTACCTTTCACAATGCTTGGCATGTAATAGAGGCTAAATAAGTAGCATTACCAGTAATGGAGCATTTCTAGAGCCATAGCAATACTGTCCTGATTTCCTTTCCATTCTGCCATTCTTCAGTGTAGTTGGTGTAATTTCCCCTTGAACGGGCAAGATTTCGGATTGTTCACAGTCACAAGTAAGAGAACAAAGTAAGAGAGATTTTCATTTATAAGATTGCCTTTCTCTTATCTACTAGTCTTGCCTCCCAGACTGTCTGTCTGTCTCTGGAAAGCAAAGTCAATAAAAATGATTAGAGCTGACATCTCACAAATGTACACCCTTAAACCATGAAGCAGTAATGCTGTGCAGGAAATATTTTTCTGACCTTTTCAAATTGCATCCAACTGTCTCGGGAATTTCTCAGTGACTAGAGGTAATAAGGTTCAATCCGTTTTACTGGCTGGCTTCAAATTTAGTTCCCCCGAATCTCTAACTTATCTATTCTTTGCATCTCGGCTCTGGCTTCCATTCAGCGTAGAAATCCATGCATTTCATCTTTTTTTCCCCTCCTTAGGTTTTGCAAAAAGATCACAGTGTGGAATCTACAACCATGCCAACTCTCCATTTATCGCCCCTTCAAAAACAAAGTCTGAACGTAGGGGAGCTTAGTGGGCATAATGTTGCTTCAGTAACCTTTACTGAATTCAATTAGCTCGTAGATTTCATCTTCATCTTATCTCTCAGTTTTTACTTCAGTAATCTTCATTATATAAAACTTTCCAACTTAACTATACCACAGGCACTCTATAGAATATTAAAGAAGCAAAATACGTGAATTTCTTTTGTGTTGAATTGATTTTGGTTTTTCTTCTGTGAGTCCAAATGTTATGAACACACTCTCTGAGTAAGGATGGGAGTCATCCAAGTGTGACTTGCTAAAAGGCAGCTGGGCAACCCCATTTTTCACTGTGTTCCCTGAAGGAGAACAGAAAACAGAAGCTGGGGACACATTTCATGACCTCACTGAAGTGTTGGATGTCAGGAAGCCTTGACAAGGTAGTCTGAACGTAGGGGAGCTTAGTGGGCATAATGTTGCTTCAGTAACCTTTACTGAATTCAATTAGCTCGTAGATTTCATCTTCATCTTATCTCTTAGTTTTTACTTCAGTAATCTTCATTATATAAAACTTTCCAACTTAACTATACCACAGGCACTCTATAGAATATAAAAGAAGCAAAATACGTGAATTTCTTTTGTGTTGAATTGATTTTGATTTTTTCTTCTGTGAGTCCAAATGTTATGAACACACTCTCTGAGTTAGGATGGGAGTCATCCAAGTGTGACTTGCTAAAAGGCAGCTGGGCAACCCCATTCTTCACTGTGTTCCCTGAAGGAGAACAGAAAACAGAAGCTGGGGACACATTTCATGACCTCACTGAAGTGTTGGATGTCAGGAAGCCTTGACAAGGAGTTAAGAAGCTTGTCTTGCTTTCCATATTTAGAGCATCTCTGTGCTGACGTGATGTGGGGGAGATGTCAATGCTTTCTCATTTGTAGGAAACAGCAAATTCGACGCATTTGGTTGCTCCCACCCATCACCTTTGTACTGCCTCCTTCAGCAGTGATTAGAATCTTGGCTGAAAGCGCCTGTGGTCAGTGGCGCTTGAACTCTTTCTGCTGCCTGTCTTGTCACGGGCGAACAGCCACCAGGAGGAGGACACTTTTTGAAGTTCTCCTTCCAAGAGTGTGTATTTGTTTGTACAATAATTGTCAAGTCTGATCATCACAAGATATTTGGCTTTGTAAAAATGAGATTATTTCAAATAATCCTATTCAGAAAATAGATTTAGAGGGAAGAGGATAAAGAGCAGACATTTGTTAAAATTCATACTGATGCATGTTTCTTTCTTGAAAGAAAAAGTTCATCTTCATAGATAGCTTAACTTTACCATTTTAGAAAATGGAAATAATGATGTTGATGAAAGTTAAAAGGAAACTTACAAAGTATATTTAAGGATATGGTGTTTTCTTGAAGTTGCTATTTTGTCATTTTGAAATTCAGTGTGTGCAGCTATGTGTGTGGAATGCACAATAATTTGAATTTGGGGTCAGAAGGCAACAACTCCAAAACTGACTGGATTCCAGTTTCTCCCTGGAGATGTCATCTCAGTGAATTGGAACCTTGGTTATACCTATGGACTCTTTCAAAACAGAGTAGCTTGGTCAACTAGCTCTGATTATTACACATTTGGTGCCTTCTGTTCCCTATGTCTAAATAGGCCATATTCCCCACCCTCAGGACCTGGAGGTTAAACAAAACCAGTGTTCAGCACTTCCACTGAAAGTATAAACTGATCTGAACCTGCCGGAGGAAAGGAGTGGGGTGGTGCCGGGTTCCATCTGTAGCGAGTGATTTTGCTTTGGTGGGGTTCTTAGAGATGGGGGAATGGTATGGGAACTTGTCAGGAGCCTCCGGGTGGCGAGGCAGGGGAGGAGCGGGTAGTCTAGTTAACAGTGCCTTGACTGCCTTAACAGTCCTTACTGACTGCCATCTACCAGGTAGCTGTGACCATCAGTTACCATCAGTAACTCGTGTAGCCTCCTTAATCTTCGTAGGAGCCCCGTAAGACAGCTATAACCATCTTCGATTTACAGGGGCTGAAAGTGAGGTTTAAAATGCTTACAACTGAGTTTGCTTGTAAGTTTGCAGGGGTAATGTATGAAGAGAATTATTTTTATATAGAAAGGAAAGAAATAATTCATTTACTGAACTCGGCGAGTTTTTGACATTTTCTCCTGTTTTTTCTTCTCCTCCACTGCCTTCTTGCTTCTTCTTTGCTTTTCCTTCTCCTATTCTTTTCTCAAAGAAAGAATGAAACGAGGCCCAAACGGTAAAGCACTCTCTCCCACTGTGTCTTCAGCAAGACACCATTCTTCCCTGCATCCTCATAGAGTTGCTTTCAGTAAAGCTACATATAGCATTATCTTGGAGGTTTAATAAGGACCGAGCGTTCTGGCTGGTGGCTTATATTATTGCCACATAAAGTAATAATACTACAGAAGATGGTGATTCTATGCTGTCCTCACAAGCTCACATTCAGCCCTGTTTAATCTGTCTGTCATCTGATTAATGAGTAACCAGGATGAAAGAATGGATGCAGAACACAGAAGTTGAGAAGTATTTTTGTGAGTAATCTGGTAAAACCTACTTCTGCAAATGTAATATTTCTAAACCAGGATAACTAGAAAACTAAATTCCTTCACATATTATACAACTGGGATCCTTTTTCTTCTTCTGTCTGCTTCCCATCTCCATATTACAAAAATACACATTCTTGATTACCAAAGCAGGCTTGTTATTGTGGCCTTAGCTCAATGAAGATATTGACACACAAGGATTAGATTTCACTCTTACGGGGATGCCTGATATACTTCCATTTGTCTCCTGGTGAAGGGGCTTGGCTATTTATTCCGGATAAACTGGGTTTGTGTTGCCTCAGCTCCGCCTGCTCTCTGATGCCAAGGCCAGTGACCTGACGGGGCCGCCTGTGTCCTCGGCATATCAGACAGAAACCTAATTCAAATCTAAGCCGAGTGGTGGGATCTCAAAGCTCTGTCACCACTATCCACAGCAACTCTATTTCTTCCTAGAGTGGGTGTTCTGAAAATTTGATCTGCGTCTCACTTGAGATAAATAACCCTCTCGAAAAAATTTCAAGCAGAACTACATGGAAAGGCAGTAAAGCCTTAGACGGAAATATAATTTCAAGATCCCTCTCTCCCTCTGGGGTCTCTGGAATATGCATGTGATCCCAGTGCAGAGTTCTTTCATGAAACCCTTTCTGTTTTGCACAAGGACCCTCTGAGTCCCACTATCACCTTTATTGGAAATAAACTCAAAATAATATAAGCAAACAGGAATAAATTGTTCTGAAATGATCCGCTGCACACCGTTCATCCTTCCATTACTGCTGAAGGAAGAGAAATGACGGCATCAGCTTTAAATCTGTAGGCTGAGTGGTGGGCCCCTGTCTGTCCTTCTGTGACATAGAGGCAATCTCCCCTTATTGTTGGGATTCAGCAATACTTTTATACTTAACTGGAACCCCACTGATGCCCATGGGATGTCCTCCCCTTGGCAAGGCAATATATCCATACAGACATAGAGCATAACCACCATGGCCTACTATAATATTATAGTCAGAAATATCAACATTGGGATCAAAGTTAAACCAACACCTAGGCTAATAGAGTTTCTAGATCATCTTTTGATATTATTAGGAGTTCACTATTTTTCTGTGTTTATCTTTGGATTTAGAGCGAGGCCAGCAGCAATTCAAATTGAATACCCTTTATCACAGTGTTTCCTTTTCTGTTTTAATTCCTCTTTGCATTGCTTCCAGAAGTGAAGGAAGAACTAACTGGTAAAATTACTCACTATTATACTTTATGAGCAAGGACACAACAAATACCAGAGGTCTGGGTGCTCTGTATAAAAGTGGAACTGTTTTATTCAATCTTTGTTCTACCCTCTCTCTCTTTACGTGAATAAATATAAGGTCAACTTTATGAAAATGCCTAGAAAGCCTTAATTTTACTAAAGTTAAGTTAATGAAAATGAAATTGACAAGTAAATCCCTTTCATCTTAACTCTCAGTGCCCAAACAGGACTCGTTACCTTGGACATGAGAGGGCCACTTCATTGTCTTTATTTATGGTCACAGCATTTGCATTCATTTCTCTCTTGTGCTATTTTTATTTTTGTCATTGGAGTCCATGAAGACTTAATCATCAGCCCTCTAATTTTCCAGAAAACGAAAAGTTGATTTATCAAACTGGCGGCAGAAAAGGAAGCAGATCAATCTGACATTGTAGGTTAATAGTAGGGAACAAAACACATTCATAATTAGAAGAGAAAAGGACTTTCCTTGTTCATTCCAGTTTATAATAAAAAGCCCCTCACCAAAGCGTCTTAGAAAATAATGCATTCAGACTGCGTCGAATTACCGCCTAGCAGATTCTATTTATCTGTAGCTTAAAAAGCAGCTGCGTTTTTGTAAAAAGCAATGAATGTGGCAGTCCTACTTAAAGGTAGAAGAAAAAGAACACCCCTTGATTTGTAATAAGGGGATTTTCCATTTAAAAGAGAGAGCGAGCCCGTTGTGTGAAGTACGATTATTACATTCACTGTATTCTATCTCACCCACCAGGAGGCTAATAATGAAGGGGCCAGAGAAGGAGGCCAGTGCTACCAGGGTTATCTCGCAGCCTCAGATGTTGGATAAGTCGAAGGAGGCAGGATCGCTTCAGGATGACATTCAGAAAGGCCGGAGTGATTACCGGGAAGAGAAAAGCCTACCTATTCTTTTCTAAGGTAAACAGTTCATTTCATCTGTCAGCTGCATGTTTTATTATAAAAACATGTTTATATAAAGATAGCTCTAAAGTTTACCTTTAAAAATTATTTTAGGTGCCTGAATATTCCCCTGGCCTGCTTGTCCATGTGCTGATGCATTATTAGCAACCTGCCTTAGACAAAGGAGGCACTCGGAGCCCCACCACACCTCAAACCACGCTTTGAAGGATCTGCCAAGCTCACTTTTAATCATGAGGAAGGAATTACCCACATGGAGTCAGCAGAAAATGAGAAAGTGGAGCTCGTGCTGAGAATAATTCCAGCAAGTGCCAAGGGGCTAGTTGAGGAATGGTTTCATGAGGTGAATATCTTTAGCTTGTACTTAGGGTTTGGGTAGCGTATAATCCTTTTTTCTTTTAGGAGCGATGACTATCCTAAGTGTCCTTCCCAACTCAAGAGCGCTCAGAGCATTTGTCAGGCTGTTGACAGATTGCTATCAGTCTCGTCCTTGTTGTTATTTTCTGTGACTAATTTTACATTTGCAAACATGCAGCAGCCCACTGGGGCTGCCGAGCCGCAGTGCTGACGGCCGCGTGTGTCTGTGTGCGTGCATGTCTGTGTGTGAGTCCGTCTGTGTGTGTGCCCTTGTGCCCGTCTTCTCTGTCGTGCATGTAGGTGGGGAGGGCTGGCCGGCCAACGGCCTCTCAGATGTGGTCCGAGGCTTTTATTTGATCTTTGGACCGAGAGAAAAAGAACGTGTCACATCATGATGAATGGTCAATCTGAATTTCCAATTCATACAGAAGGAGAAGCGGGGAGGAGGCTATGAGCCCAGTGGTGAGACTAACCTTTTCCCTTTGGGAAGAGCTTGATTCAAATTAAACATCACTTTCAGTGTGAAATTAGTTTGAAGGTCTCTCTCTCTTTTTTTTTTTTGGTGCCTGGTTTAACTCCTTGATGGGCTGCTCTTTCAGGGAGGAACCCTTCCGTCCACCTTTGCGCTTGTGTCTGTTCCCAGCAGCAGCCCATAGTTCTTTGTCCTTTGTTCTGTTTTTCTAAAGATCAGGTCCAAAAAAATTTTTTTTCACTATTTTCAAAACTCCCATTATTCACAAGATAACATTCTCCCTAAAACATGTTATTTCTTGATGTCCCAAACTTATATCTGAAGTAAATAACGTTCTGCTTCAAAGGATAATCTTGCTGGGGAGGAGGGAGAGGGAAAATTTGGGATCTTTTTGAAAGAACCTTCCAGTGTCTCCTGCTTTAGGCCAGCGTCTGCTGGCCACGGGAGTCAGAGCGGAGGAGTAGCAGCCGCAAAGCCCAAGCGTGCTCTCGTTTCCCTAGTTCCCCGCAGAAATAGTGAGTCGCGGGGTCACCCAGGCCAGCCTGCTGCAACTCTGGCCTCAAACACGCAGGTGCCAGGAGGCTTCTGAAACCTCCTTTCAGTGCTTCCTGGTCCAAGGACTAAGGCCCGAATGTGTAGAAAGAACCGCTGTCCATGGACACGCAAGGCTGCTTGCCCATCTGGGCACATGCTTGCTGCTTTGGTTAGGCACCCACAGGGCTAAATATGTGATTGATTCTCTTTCTGGAATTGAGTGGCTTATGGGAAAAGGGGTAGTATGGAAAAGACTAAGAGACAAGGGTATTCTTCCAATGACTCTTCAGAAGGAAAATGTGTGGGTTTTTGAATTCCTAAAGAGGAGTGTGGAGGTCAGGCAGCTGGGTTTGGAGTGAGACTGGGGAGGTGAGGCAGCTGAGGGTGGAGGTCGAGGTGGAGTGGGGGGTGAGGAGCAGCTGTGTTTATTTTAATCCATCTCATTTAACCCTCACCTAAAAACAAATTGGAGAGGTTTGGGAGTGCATTAATCTGGACCCAATTAGCATGTCTTTCTCCTTCAAAAGTGCAACCTGAGATTAATGAATATAAACTAGAGTTTCAGATGCAGTGCTTAAATCATTTGCATGTTTCATGCATGATAATTGAATTTATGTCTGCACTTCCTTTCACTTAACTATTTCCAGTCTCCTTCCTGTGAGTCACATAAAGCAAGATTTCATTCTCCTAACCTTTCGGTGGAGTTTGCCTAGCTCTTGCTCCTAATGAGAAACTCAAGTGCTTGTTCCTTTTATTTGAATTTGAATAATACAATATTTTCCACAAAGCAGAGGGCAGGGCTTAATAGACTGGGATGCTGTTTCAGGAACTGGTAAACAGGCACTCCAGGTTTATTTTTTAAAGACCAGAAAACCCATGGGAACTGAAGGCATTGAGTTTTCAGTGGTTCCAGAAAATTGGGTTTCAGTGTGACCACTTTTAAGTGTATTAATAATGCCAAGAGGAAGGTCACTTTAATGCAACATAAAGAATGTTCTCAGGCTCTGGACAGAGTTACTTATCACATGGGATTAGCGCACAGTACTTTTCTGGCATAGTTAGATATATGCTTCTGTGGAAGGGGGAGGTGGGTAGTGTCAGTCTTCATGAAGGTGTGTAGATGAGCAGTTAGCACTTGTGGTTGCTTAGCATGCTGTAGGTTTTTTCCTTCTTTCTTTCTTTCTTTTTTGTTATTTAGGTGTAGAAGGCTTAATGCTGACTTACTGCAAGCAGGTGTTAAGGTCCCCTTCCCCACCTGCTCCAACCTGAAAAGCCTAAAAGCTGGCAGTGAGCATGAAAGAATGCTTCCTAGGGGAAACGCCGAGGCCAGAGGCTTGAAATGACCCACCCTGGTTTCAGTTTGTATCAGTGATTTGTCTGTCTTCTGTCTTTCCTCATGTGTTTCCAAGTCCAATGTCCAAGGGATGAGCTTTTCTCTAGGAATTGTCCCCAGTGTCCTTTGTTTTTGGTGCATTCAGTGGTTGAGTGTTGCTGAGTGTATTCTGGTCTTGTTTCCTGGTCCTTGTAGCTAAGCATGTTGTTGAAGGATAAAATCTTGTTAATTTGTGATGTCACCGTTTAAGTGTGCTTCCTGTCACTTATGTGTAGTTTAAAATGTTCCTTAATGTAGCATGAAATGATCGGTTAGCTTTGCAATGGTTGTGAAGTCATGTGAAGAAAATAAGTTTTGCATCCGACCAAGATAAATTCACTCTAGTGCTTTATGGCTTTTTATTCCTATGTGATAGTAATAAAGTCTCATGTAGGGATGGAAGCCATGAAATACATTGTGAAAAATCATCAACTAAGAAGGGGCCATCAGTATAGAAAACATTAGCCTATGGAGCTGTGAACATGCTGGAGACATGATTTGGCGTATAACTTTGCCACATTTATGGTGTTTTTTTGAGCTTCTTTATCCTGGAATTTTGAGAGCTAAGGAATCTAGGTTACAAGAGTTGATTCATCTCTGTAATCATTGATTTACATGCTCATTTGGGTTTGCACCTTTCTGTTTATCATACATTTTTCTCCATTGTCTCTTAATGAAACTTCTCTAGAAACTATTGGTGGCCCACCCATCCTGAGGCTACATTTAGTGTTCCTAAGCCTCCTCCCTCCTCTTGTGACCTCTCTTCTGAAACAAAGAAGAAACAGTCCAATCAGACTTGCCCTCTTGGAAANGGAAAGGCTCCTCTTTCCATGGAATTTTCCAGGCAAGAATGCTGGAGTGGGTTGCTATTCCCTTCTCCAGGGATCTTCCTGACCCAGGAATTGAACCCAGGTCTCCTGCATTGCAGGCAGATTCTTTACCATCCGAACCATCAGGATATTAGTGGATTACTTAGTGGGAAAGGAAGGAAGGAAGGAAGAAAATGATGGGGGAAGGAAATAAAGAAGTAAAAGGCCATATCCCCATAAGAAGTCAATTGTATGGTTAAGAAGGCCATCTAGAACACTTAAGATAAAATGTAACAAACGACATACACAAAATCACTCTGGGGATTCAGAGCAAGGAAAATTCTCTAGGATCAGGGATAAGACCTATGTCAGGATTTAGGACATCAACCAAATTTCCATGGGCAAGAATCAGGAACTTAAAAATTAATTTATTGTTGTGAAGTAATTAGCCCCCAACTAATAAAAATAAATGAAAAAAATTAATTTATCAAGGAATTTATGAAAAGCTCAGATAAAGTAGTTCTTGAAAATCTTGTATGAAGTATTCAACCCTGGAACACATATTTACTTCTAAATGTCTTCACAAGTGCCATTAGATACAGGTAGTAGATCTTAATGGACACACTTACTTAGATTAATTAATTACTGCTGAATCTCAGTGGACTGCAATTAGCTCTTACCCATGTGGGACAGGACAAGTCTATGCTGCCAGCATGCTTGAGATTTTAAGGATAGCCATGTGTTTGCCCAACCTTTCCCCTCTTTTATTTTTGTATGGTTGTCATTAAACTCCAATACCTGCTATAACCATTAGGCAACTTGTGCAAAAGTGGTTGCCTTCAAGAAGGGCTCAACATCCCCCAACCACTCTGGATACCGAATTTGGCACCAGACACCAGCCTTTCAGAGTGATTTATTAGCAACAAATCCCATGGTATATTCCTATGTAAATGCCTATAAATTTGTGGGCCAGTGTAACAAAAAGTGCAATAAAAAGTGATTTCACTCAATAAGTGAATGAGCAAAATTGTGTTTCAGCAAAGGATGAGAGTGTGACTATGGGGCATAACAATCCTCCTCACTTTGTTTCCTTCACACATCCTTATCAGAAGTTTCACTTCATCAGAATTTTCACCAATATTATGTTAATCAATGGAGGATAATATCTGTGAGATCTGGGTTTGGGCAGCTTAAGAAAAGCTACACATTGTCCGAAATGTTCAAGTCCCAAAATGAAGCTGTGGAACCATGAAGCTTCCTATTTGGTGAAATAAGGAGTGCAGAATTTTTCTGTCATTCTTTGGATGGTCCCAGGAACTCTGAAGTTATGTTGAAATAGCAAAACCTAATCGTTTTAGTCACAATTTGGACCTTGCCAAGTAGTCAAGTACTCTGAGTTGTCTTTGCTTGAGTAAGAGTGGGCTTATAATGGCCTGTACTCTCATCTGCCTACCTTTATGGCCTTTAAGTGACTCAGTCTGATGTCAGGCATGGCTGAGGGTTCGTCATCAGCTCCAGATCAGAATGAGGTCCACACAGGAGCACAGAGCCCAGAAACTCAGTGAGCACCAAATAACACAACCCTCTGGGTCCTGAGCTTCAGGTCTCCCATCCCTAAACCATCCTTGGAACCAGAGCTTCCAAAGACAGCTACTCCAGAAAGAGTTGGCCCAGACCCTGTACTTACAGACTGTCCTTGGATTTGAAGCACTGGCGGGCAGAGGGTGGAGTGGGATGGGGTTTGAAGAAATCATTCAGACACCATTGGATGTCTCCTCTCTCCACTACCTTCCATGAAACAGACCCCTCAACATGTGACAATCTGCTAATGCCAGACCTCATCACACTTATTTTCACCTTTAGTCCTTATCAAGATGAATGTAGAATATATTGATTTTAGGTAATAATACTAGCAGCCCTGGAGTTTCATTCTTTCATTCCATTACTCTTTTCTCTTTCATATGTTTAATGAGGCATGACGAAATAAACTTTCTAGCCAAAAGATGTAAAAATATTCTAGAAGTATGTTTTAACTGGGAGGATATAAGCAACTAACTGGTCATCCAAAATCAGGTTACACAAAGATGGCTAAATAAATACTGATGACTTAATTGCTCGCTGAATTAAGTTTGAAGTGCTTCTAGTAACCCACAGCGCCTCACCAGGCATTTGTCCCCTCTTTCTGACTTCATCTCCTGCCCCCTCATTCAACCAGTCCAGGCTTGTGAATTTGGTCTTATTCCCTGAATATACTAGTTACACTTCTACTGCAGAGCCTTTGAAATTGCCGTCCCCCCACTCCCACCCAGAATACTCTTCCTGAAAATCTACAGGTCTCACTCTCTCATTGCCTCGAGTCTCCCCTCCA